CTGGAAATTGAATCCGTTTTAAATAGAATTTGAGATTTAATTGCAAGGACTGTATTTTATAAAATGTAAAGGCAGCTAGACATTTATTTATTTATATTGCTAAATAAGTCTATAGCATATGCCCAATTTATGGTTGATACATAAAAATATAATTTTCAGAGTGAATCTTATTTTTAAATTTATTTAGTGTCTGATTTCAGAGAGGAAAGGGGGAGTGAGAGAGAAAAACATCAAATTGTTGTTTCCCTGTTTTATGCTTTAATGTCTGCATGTTCCCAGCCCAGGGGCCGAACACCACCTACATCCTTGGCAAATGAGGGCGACACTAACCAACTGAGCTGCCCGGCCAGGACCCAGGATGAGTCTTAAGTGTTAGTAATGGCACAGGTTTGTCTCATCATTTGACTTCAATTGTAGGTAAAACAGTAGCCACATATAAAGATGGTAGATGTCAGAGGTTTCACCAGAAGTCCTTTCCTCTCTTCTGCTTTATGACAAACATTTATTTCATCAGAGAGAGGGGAGAATAGAACCTTTCATTCAGTAGTTAGAGAGAAAAAATTTAAAGCAATGACCTCCAGTAGCAAAATGTGGCCGTTGTTTAAACTCTGTGTAAGGCTGTGGTTAGAAATGGCCGACAGCAGATTAGTTTTCCTGGAACAGGGATGATAAGAGGGCATGGAACCTGGGGGACACTGGGGAATTCTTGTTAGGGAGTGGGGGTCATCTTTATTTACCTCAAGCCTTAGAGGAACTCAGGTGGGTAGAAAGAAGGAAGCATGACTCATTTGAATTATCCACAGTTCAATGTCATGAACTAACCACTATAATGTCATTTTTTCCCCTGCTAAAAACTTAGAGGGGGAATGGATTCTTAACATAAAGATAATTTGTCTATGACAATTACTTGATTAGTAATTGAAGTCATCGTTATTAGTGATATATTAATTATAACAGGAATATTATTTTATTTTGTCTGTTCCCTTTTAGTAGAAGGTAAAACTGAGTTATCTAGCTTATTGCTCTGCTGTAACTGTCAAGACGACCTCTCTTCCAGTCAGTGCTTCCTGTGTTTGCTGGTTTGACAGAGAAAGAACCTTTCTGTCTAACGGGTTCCGTGTGCTACACTCTGTATACATCGCTGCTGTAGTCCTCCTGCCTTGAGAAAGTAGGAGGAGGAAGTCGAGGCTTCTCCAGATCAATGCCTTGCCCCAAACCATGCAGCGAGGAGAACTAGAACTAGAACTCGAGTCTGCCTCCCACGCCCAAGCAAGAGCTTTTACAAATAAATATTGTCTCTCTAGAGCAAGATGAAGAGGAGAGGGGCTTTTAACATCAAACCACCTGTCAAATGCAGAACTGGGTTGTTTTCAGGCTGTCCACCCTGAGAACGTACTCTTAATCTGGTTTCTTATTTAATCTATTTTAATGCATTCTACATCCTAAAAACCCTCGATGCGTAAAAATTCAATGTTACATAAAAGATAAATTAAGAAATTATTTACTGCATTGATGGCTCTTTGTCTTATTACAAAAGATTTCCCGAAATATCCCCACTGAAGTGTATCTTTCCATTAAAAATCCAGTGAATTCATCTTCTTAGCATTGGTTATTCTAGATACTGTACCTTACTGCAGAAGTTAGAAGACAAGCTACAGTTTTGAACTTCAAAGAATTTAAATGGCAGAGGAAACAAAGGCAAATAATTAGTAACAAAAGAAACAATTTAAAAAAGGAAGCATGCTGAAAATATATGTTGTGCTGGGGTTTGTTAAAGCAAAAACAAAAACCGAGAAACTCATCACCAGAGTGGGACCAGAAGGACAGGCGATGCCCACAGGAAAAGGGACAGGTAGAGTGGAGGTGGCATCTCCTGCACATGGACCCAGGTGTGCACAGAAAGGACTCTCCTGCTTGAGAGATGAGGTGCTTGCTATGAAGGGTTAAAGCAGAGGCTGGGAATGGAGTAGGAAGCTATATTTCCTTGAGAACCGGGATAACTTGTTCCTATTTAATTGAGTGAGTCATTGATGGTTTTTGACCTGGCAAGTTACCAGTCACATAGGTGGCTCTGGGACTGGTGAGTAGAATTGATCAGATACTGTAGACAGGAGACTCTGGAAATATATTAAGCAAGAGATAAATAGCTCTTCCCTGACTGGAGAGATAACAGTGGGGACGAGGAGAGGGCATAGATAGGAAAGACAATTCTGTAATAAAATGTGTAAGATATAGAACTTGAGAGACAAGGGAAAGGGAGAGTCTGGTTGTCCTAAGGGAAATTTTCAGAGCTAAGAATCAAGAAGGGAAACTTTGTGGACATGTAGGCGAGACAATCTCATGAGGTCAGTTTTCAGAGACAGAAGCATTGTTCAAAAAGCAGAAGTTACATTACACTTCTTGAGTGGGTGTTAACTGTTTTTCTTGGCTAGCAGAGAATGAATGTATGTTGACTACAGAGTTGTATAGTGCAAAGTCTATAATAAGACCTGTGTTTATGTCTATAAAGTAGAGTCAACGATACTTTAAAAAAATGGTAAGGGTTAATGGAGCTTCATGTTGATATCCATACATCTAATGGCTTTAGACCATATTAAATACCAGCAATAAAAAAGCTACGATGTGGTAAACATTATTGCAACAATAAAGATTGGATGGTACTTTATCCTTTTCTTCTGTTGACTAAGATGGATGGAATATGATTTTTCCTTAAAAATAGCTTCTATCGTAATGACAGAAATACAAAGATGTCTGTGACAGTGAGTATTTTTCAACGGGCCCTTGGTTGTTCCCCATCAAAATGGATTTCTCTTGGGAAGGAAAGTTAAATTCATACTAAATGGGCCACCAACATTTTGTCTGCAGTCTGTTATATGCTAAGATCTGTGATTTGTACATATTACTTAATTTATGGACCTCTACACCCTTGGCTCTGTGATCATCTTTATTTTACAGATGAGAAAACTTAGTATTAGAGAATTTAAGTAATGTCCCCAAATTAAATCATGGGTAAGACGTTCTGCGTGCGGACAGCTGCCGCAGGACTCACGGGGCAAACGGGTGACTGCAGCTTACTTTCAGGTATCGAACCGAAGAGCTTTGGTGAATGATTGAGCATGAGATGGAGCGGATTTAGGGCCTGGAGTTAGCTAGGATGGTTCCAAGGCTTCTGGCTTGTATCAGGCACAGAGTTGTTCTTTCCCAGGACAAAGGGAACCTGTGAGGAGTGTGTGGGGGCCGAGGGGTGAGTCGGAGCCCGGTGTGCTGTTTAGCATGAGAGTGATATATGCAAGGGGGCAGGTAGATTTCACAGGCTGCTGACTGCGAGGACCAGGAGTGGACTGGAGAGAAAGCAGCTGGACCGTCGGTTATAAAGGAATCGCAGACGACGTGCATGGGTATGTGGTGTTGCCCAGAGAGCCTGTGTGGAGAGGGAGATAAAGGGCTATTAGGACGCGCAGGGGAGCAGCAGCCTCCTGGGAGGGCAGAGGGAGGAGCCCACGGCAGAGACGGATGCGAGTAGCCACAGAAGTGCCAGTCCTCGGGGCACACGCAGTTGCACTTTAGAGCTCAGAGATGTCATTCCTTGTGAGGTAGCCACCGCAGCATTCAGCATGTCTACACCTCTCCTCTGTCCTTGGTGTGTTCAGTGGCCCGTTTTGTATATTTCCACTGAGAGAAGAAAATAAAAAGTTTCATCGAAATTGCCAATGCATGGTGTATGATTGACACGGGCATTTGTATACTTGTCCATATATGTGTAGATATATTTTGACAGAAAGACTGGTGAAATCTTCAAAATGACAAAACGTTTACCTTTGACCTAATCTTGGGGATGGTGGAGACCAGGGGAGAACTCGCTTTTATAGTTCTTTCTTATACTACTACTTTTATCCCAGGAGCCATTCGTAATTAGGGACATAGTAACTTTGATAGGTTTATACAAATGTATGCCTTACCAAAATGTAACCCAAATAATCTAAGTGGGAGAAATAATATTAAGTAAAAATATCTTGGTTAACAGAAATTTCTGTCATAAAAGTTTATGTCATTTATTCAACAGAACTTCCAAAAGAGGACACATAGGACCAGATTAAGTTAACTCACGTTTTCAGATTTTTCATTATTATAGAGTTGTATTAATAGATTTGCTTCTTCATTGTTATAAGTATATACTGTCACAAGTATAAAACGTCTATTTTTAGGGTCAATATTCCTTGAAAGAATCCAAATGAAAATAACATAATCATCTCTGAAGAATTTAGTTACAATATATTAACCTGGAAAAATCTGAAAGTTCATGGTTTTCTCCCAATTTTAATATAAAGAGAGACAGAAATGTTTCAAAAGGTAGTTAGTAATCACAGTTTCCAGTTTCAAATCTAGAGTGGAGTCTCTTCAATTATTTTTAGCCTCAGGAAAAAATTAGTTTTTCTATTTTAAACTAAAGAAGAATAAAGCATAAATATTTGGAGTACTGTGAAGCTATGGGCTATTCTAGAATTCGTGTTTGACCTAATCTCCTAGGGATAAATTTGCATTACTAGTACTTTTAGCACACCCTCTTTATTACTGTTTATTCTAATCCATGACATGTAAAGTACTTCAAAGCACCTCCAAATAATTCTCCCGAAAGCAGTTTTTTAAGGTTGATCTTCTGGTCCTATACTTCTGCCTGGTTTCCATGTAATCTATAAGGAAGGATGTTTTTTACTTCTTTACTAGATAAATGGGGTTATGGATGCTTTTGAATTTATTTCTATAACACTTGATATCAAATAATATTTAGAATTCTCTAGTCACAATCTTTTTCTTAAGGGGTATGTTAATTTTACTTAGATTTAAATTTGTTGCCATTGAAGGAATTAGTTACATTATTTATAAAATCAACACATTATTCTTTTACTCATTTATTAACCATAAATCAGGAATACTTTGTATTGGGGGGGCAGTTTGGTTATTGTCTGCATCTTGAAATCTTTTCGTTTTATTTGTCATAGGTTTTACTGGGATTTAATAATGCTCATAATGATGGTTGGCAATTTGGTCATCATACCCGTGGGAATCACGTTCTTTACAGAACAAACTACCACCCCGTGGATTATTTTTAACGTGGCGTCCGACACAGTCTTCCTCTTGGACCTGATCATGAATTTTAGGACTGGGACTGTCAATGAAGACAGTTCTGAAATCATCCTGGACCCTAAAGTGATCAAGATGAATTATTTAAAAAGCTGGTTTGTGGTGGACTTCATCTCGTCCATCCCTGTGGATTACATCTTCCTCATCGTAGAGAAGGGAATGGACTCGGAAGTTTACAAGACGGCCAGGGCGCTTCGCATCGTGAGGTTTACCAAAATCCTCAGTCTCTTGCGCTTATTACGACTTTCAAGATTGATTAGGTACATCCATCAGTGGGAAGAGGTAAGACACACACTTTACTTTTTAAAGCCACGATATCCCGGCATTGTTCACTGTAACTGTTTTGAAATGAACCACTCTGCTATGTATGAGGGTTATGAAACCAAAGGAGATCATTTTTGTTTATTTATGTTTTGGTACTTAAGTGATGTATGTGTCTCTTGAAAAGATTCAAACACTAGATTTGAATCAACTGGAAAAGAAAGTGATTTTGAAACGATTGTTTTCCATCAGTTTAGTTTTTTCCTTACAAATCCATTTCAATCAAAACACGTCTGTCCTAACCCATGCACCCCTCCGTGGAGGTTGTCTTTATCTGACGTGAATACGTCAAGTACCAGATTTGACAAAGATTCGGAGGCTCTGTTTGTGAATCTCGTTTGTGTCATTAGCTCTATGAGATAACCTGCTATGTGGTTCCTCTAATATTGCAATTTCAGGGATTTTTGTCTGAGAAACAGATTAATTTTCTGAGTGTTTCCAAGGTACACCTGTAAAGACTGATTTCAGCGCCATAATTTTGCTCTCTTTAATGCTTAGCATATAATTATTTATGATAGTTTCTCCTTTCAACTCATTTCATAATACTAAAAAACGGCACAGCCAGGAGGGCAATGTGTAGAGTGAAACGGGGATAAATGCAGGACATGCGGCCTGTGGTTCTGGGGCAGTCGGGGGCCCGAGGGGGCCTGCGGCCGGAGTCTCCCGAGGGCGGAGTTTGCTGCCCCATCAGCGAGCCAAGGGGCTCGTGTTCCCATTTCTAGAGTCTGCGTATCCGCCTTTTCAACTTTCTTTTCCTTCTACGTCTTCTTTTGCTTTTTAAATTAATTATCACCTGAACTTTGTTGTCTGGATAAAACGAGGGCTGAAAAGGCTTTGTGAATACATAAAGCTGCTCTCAGGAAAACAGTCTACTTGCTATGGATTAGTCATCCCTTCAGGGCAGAAATTCCGTTTAGAATTCAGGGAATTGTGTTTTGGAATCTAGGGTTAAACAGGTCTGAACATGGATCTTCTGTGAACGTCCACTCTGCCTGCTCGGAGGCTGGAGCCGTGGGCTTGTCGATGACATTTCGGTTCCCAGGACTCCAGGAAATGACATGTGATGATAAACACTGCGTCAGACATTGCTGAAGAGGCTTAAAAATGGATGATTCTTAAAATATGGATATGGGTTATATTTAAAATCAAATGAAGCACATTGGAGAGATTGGATTCATCTTGTAATGTGTCCAAAATGCACATTCCGTCTGAGATGTTCTAAATGTTTGGTTCTCAAACTTTATTATTCTGATTTGAGATTGATATCAAACCAAGAGGATTCCTGATAATAATCATGAATGTTTATTGGGCTCGTATTATATGTCAGGTAATATATTTGATTCTTTACTAAATCTTCCTGATGTCTCCCATAACGTGCCTAGATTCACAGGGTTCATGATATGTGGAGCTCGGATTCTAATCTTGGCAATTTGGCTCCAGAAAAAAGCTCTTAACCACAAAACAATATAGCTTCTCACGATAACATACTCTTGTAATGAGAAATGCCTTACTATTCAATGCTTTTATGCGTTGAGTAAAAGCTACAGAGGAGTATTCACCTCTTAAAACATGGTCACTTAACACATTGTAATGACTAGCCTGGGGAGTGACAAGTCACTGATACAGATGCCCAGCTGGTTAAAAATGCAGCGGTCCGTGGGGCATTTCAGTGTGTTGTGGTTTTAGCCCGGCCACCCTGGAGCATGGCGTCAGGATGGGCAGAGGCAGCCTGTCAGAGAGGGGCCGGCCCTGCGGACCAAGAAGACTCCCCAACACCGCTGTCCTCTGGCTCCCAGAAGCAGGCACGGGGCCTGCGATCTAATTCAGGAGCATCCCGGACTGCACGGGCCTGTGAGTGCGATCGGATATGCACTTACAGCCACTGGTAACCAGACACACTCTGGCCAGGGCTGTGAGTCGGCAAGATCTTCCTTATAAATAAATGACCTTGATAATAAATGAACCATAAGCTCATTTAAGTGAAGAATGTTTTCTCGGGTACATGATACCCTCCTATGATATCACACGTATCATGGATATTTAATGTCTGTTAGTAATACTGTTAAACGGGGAAGGAACAGTGATGATTAATCCAGACTCTCATAGGAATTTATTATTTCATCACCTGCCTGATTCACACCCAAATCACCAAGTGGTTGCAAACCGGCAGGCCTCTCCCGGACTCGATGGACGCCACCAGGCTGTGTTTACAAGGAGAGAGACGACGGATAAGCGCGGAAGCGTTTCGGAGTGTTTGGAAGAAGGCTGCCCAGGAAGATGTGACGCACCCACGTGTCTTTGAGTTCCGAGTGTTTCGGTACCCAGCTGGCTTGTGCTAAATTCAGCAAATCTGGGGAAGTGATGTGTGAAGTCTGTTCTACATGAATCGTTTCCAGGGATGCAGCTGCCTTCTATAGGGAACTGCTTTTATCTTCAGTGATACATCCCCCCCTCCCCACCCCCCCGGTCTGAATTAGTTCAACTGAAAACAAGTGCCAAAGCCAGATAAATCCGAGTAACATTGTGAATGAAACAGAGAAACTTTGAAACTTAGCCCTTATGTTACCATCAGTACTGAAGCTGAATGTTGTGGCTACTATGCAAGGAAAGCTCATTTGGCCAACAGATTTATGGAACACATGGTGTTGAGGAGTCGGGGGGGGGGGTTGTTTACATAAGACAATTATAAAATAAAGCCCTCTCTTAGCCATGTGTCTTCAGTACAAAGTTTCATGAAACTTCATACATGTATTGCCAGGGGAGGTGAACAGCGGGAGCAATCATTTCGATCAAATCAGGCCAGAAAATGCCTCTTTCTCTCACCTCTAGAAAACTGAGGTAACTCTTTCTTGAAGTTTGTTTGTGTTTTTAAAAACTTCTGACTTGCATGCAGCATTGTTTTACTTGAAGGCAAGTCGATGACCCAAGCCGGATCCCTGTATTGTGTAACCTGTCACCGGGGGAACCGATCCTCTGTGATCCTCCTAAAAGAGACATATGGTGAGGAAAATCCTCAGAAATTAAATGGGATATTAACAATGTTCGACCACCACAAGCCACTGAAGAGATGAAGGAGGGTTAAGAGCTTAGTGAATGGGGGATTATTCAGTTAGTGAAGGTGAAGGATCCTAGGAACCTTGAAGTCGGCCGATCCCAGTTTTGTTGTTGTTTTTATCAAAGGGCGATGATCTCTGAAATTATTAGATATTTAGGAAATAATAATTGAAGAGAGAACTACTACTCTGCAGTGCTCATCTGTTTTTAGGGTTCAGTGTCAAGGGCAATGTGAAGAACACGTGTTGGAAATGCACGGTGCTTGTACAATAGCCATGTCTTGGGAACACCTATCTGCAATAGTTCACTCTGTGTTCCTCATTGACTCTCCCCGCAGCCTTGCTTGTATAGATTTTAGACCCATCACAGTGTACTAAACCGTTTTGTGGCAAGAAGGGGGGCCTGTGGTTCTGATCCCCCCACATGCCGTGGCAATTTCAGATGAATCGTGTGTCCTGTACCCTGCTGTGCTCTTCCAGCAATCGATACTCGATTTCTGTGCCGGCTTAGAGACAGGTTTATAAACAAATTATGTTTAACAGCAGAGCATTAATGCCGAAGTTTATTCCACCGAGAGCTGAATTCTGATCTAAACTTCTCTCTTTGGCGAATTTTAGCTTTCTGTTTGGATGAGCACGGAAACGAACTCTTGCTATGAATTGCCTACCTGTAATTACACGGTGCATACTGCGACTGCTTTCATTTCTGAAGAATTCCTAGGCTTGCCATAAGCAAGGGCCGTCGATTCTCCAAAGCCGCCCTCTGTCGGGGTGTGGAGAAGCTCCCCGTGGCCCCTCTCGTCCAATCTGTGTTTCTTCGCGATGCCTTCCAGGCTCTCCAGTAAACCTTTCTCTCTCTCAGTGTCATTTCTGATTTGCACCCAACAGCTCCTTTCTGTTTGATTTTTGTTTACAATGCTCCTTGCAGAGCCTGGTTCATTCTACGGCTGTGATTGTGCATGTACCGCCCCTCAGATTTGGAGAGCCTTTCTTTCTCTGTTACCCCCTTAAAAATCAGGCTTCAACTCATGTCCAGAAAACATTCCACATCGTCATTCTCTTTGCTGTGACCCCATTCTGCCGGCTGTGCTTGCGTGCGTTCTGCTGATAGCTTGGTTGCTGGTGCTGGCGTATATGTTGCCGATGCCTTCCTGTTGAGGGGCATGGACACCTGTGGGGAGAGGCGGTGTCAGCTCTGGCTGTTGCCTCTCCTTGGACACAAGTACAGCATTCGAAGCACAGTCGGTTTGCAGAGCATGCCTGTCCACGCAGCACACGGCCACCCTCCGTGTTCAAATGCATTACGTCATTGCAGGGGATATCCATTCCTTACTGCTAAGCATTTACTTAGTCGCTTCTATCGCCAGATACTGCACCTGAGAATACCAAGCAGACCCCCGCTTGGTAGGAAAGACAGACATGTGAGCAAATAACCACGCGTGGTGTGGTCACGGGTGGCGTGAAGAAGGGAGCGAACAGCAGAGCCCTTTTGCCTGAGCAGAGAGCTGCCGGGTGCGAATGAGTCTCGAAGCTGGAATCTGGAATCTGGATCGCCTCGCTGGACGGAGTGGGGGCAGAGGAGCGCGTTCCAATAAGACCTGAGGGGCGAGCAGCCCCCAAGAGGTTCTGAACCTGTAGAACCTGGAGAGTGAGGGAGGGTGTTTGGAGACTTACCCAGTAAGGTGTCCTGGGGCAGTGTAGGCGTGGGTTTGCATCTTCGAATGTGGCGGAGCGAGGCGGATTGTTCACCGCTGAGGATGGAGATGATGACACCACTCAGGAGAGAGTTAGCGTCTCTTGTGTCTTTTATGTTCAGCTAGTCAAGTCAAGCAGGGCATTTTCTAGATATCTAAAGGGAGGTTTATCTTTGCCAAGTATTCTTGGCATTGCAATGTTTGTGTCAAATAA